GAAAAATCAAATTGTTCTGGTGGTCCGAACTTAGCCATGTCTCTTCATGCAGGTATGGATTCGCCCACTTCTGACACCATGTCGTGTTCAGCAATAATGAAGAATGAAACACCTCAGAAGTTAACCGTGTTTAATGTGTAATAATCCTCCTATACAAACAACAATGGCTTCTCTCTCTCTGTCTGTCTCTGTCCCACGTGCCCCGTACGGTGGCCTGTTAGGCACACATCATGACACCAACCATTAATAAAAGCACAAGAGACAGAAGAAGAATTTTGCTTTTTTGCATCTTAGTGGAGCCTGGAGCTAAAAGTTAAGCCTGGGACACACCGGAGGCTGACAGACGTACCGCGGTTTTGAAAAGTGAAGTGGTCACACAGGACGCACCGCTGAGCGCTCCTTGGAAAGCCGCAGGATAGTCACAACATCACACGGGACTTGAGAACAGGAAGCGAAAATTGACTCTTGGTTTTACGTGATCAGCGTTGTCGTCATGCTTTGAGAGACTAATTCATTACAAATTGGTAAGCACGCTATTTATTAGAATGTTTTGAGATCAATAATACTTTAAAGTTATCAAAACTGTGGCTGGGTTTATGCCGTAAAGCCGTTCTGCGTCGTAGTGTCAGTTGTAAAGTACTCCACAATGTTGTAAACAGCCAAGGCGCCATTGTGCCGCAGCACATGAAATAGAACTAGCGCCTATCTTCAGCACCTTGGTGCTTCTAGGATGCAGCGCTCCCGTGTAGCCACTTTCATTAACTATAATGGCTTTTATTTAAAAAGACGGAGCAGGCGGGCGCTGTGTGGGCGGGCGCGATGCGTCTGTAATTTGGAGGTGAAGCAAAGCGCTAAAATCAGAGTGAACAACAGCACGGTATATACTAGCTTGAGGGAGTTAGAAGAGGCAACAATATCACAGACTGATGGTGACCTGGCAGTTTTGTAACAGGACTTGTGAGAAATAATATTTTATACCTAACAATGTGGTTCTTTTAACCTTGTGGTTTAGTATCAGTTGGCTCGTGTGAGTGTTAGCTTATTGTTAGCGCTAGCTACCGCATGTGGCAGGATTATTTACGACTGTTGCAATGCTTTCAGCCAGGAGGAGAGAGAAGCAGGAAACTTGTTCAGTGTTGCTTTAACCAAAAGGGCAGCATGGTGACACAGTTAGTAGCACTGTTGATTCACAGAAATAAGGTTTTATATTTGAATCCCAGCTGTAGCCTTTCCATGTGGCGTTAGTATGTTCCCATATGGGTATTCTCTGGGCGCTACAGTCTCCTCTTTTTTTTATCACAATTTTTATGATTTTCTCATTTTTTAAATTTTTTGAATAATTAAAAAAATCATTTTATACTTACGTTAGTTTTTGTTTTTGTGAAGCACCTCGTGATTTTTAGCTTTAGAGGCGCTATATAAAAGATCGTTTTCTTTCATTCCCTTTTCTCCCACAGATTCAAAACACAGATTTACATTTTTTTAGACTTAAACTGTCCTTAGGTGTATGACTAGTTGACCTAGGTGATCTGTCCAGGTTGTCCCCCGCCTCTAACTCAATGTTTACTCCACATAGACAGAAGCTCCCCACAACCTTATTTAAGATGAAGTGGTTTAGATAATGTGTGATTTAACATGAATCATCTGAAACAGATTCCTAAATAACATTTCTAATTTAGAGTTCTTTGAGAGTGAGACCTGTTTTGGACAAAAAACAATAACCTGCAGCCAATTAGTCAATTTTGTTTAAAAATTACAATTAATAAAAATTGTTTCTGTTCAGTCAGTGCCTATCTGCAGCAGCCATAGTTTCTGTAGATGAAGTAGCATTGTTGTGCTACCATGTGAGTCTCAACTGCCTCTATTACCACTAAAAACATGAAAAAAAAAGTTAATTGGTTTTCTATCAGTGTACAGTTTCAGGAATCATAAGCCTAAAATGAGTAATTTTAATAAGCCCCAAATTGTGATGTCACAATAGGTAAAATTAGCATAGAGCTCCCCCTCACCTGTTTATGCTGGAGGAGAAACATCTCCATTTTATTTCTTAAATTCTGCAATTGTGCCCGTGTTCTCCGCATCACAAACTCATAGAGCCCTATACTGCAGATATGCACTGATTATTAAAGATTGAATACGGAACAATTCAATAAAAAGCTATATTTAAAAAAATATTACCTCCTCAGAACATTTATGCAGAATGAAGGCACAGTGTTTCCTTTAAAAGCTATATTTGAATTAAAACTAACGAAATAATTATTTGGACGTGCACAACACTGGGTTTATGTTTAATGATAAATGACTTGCACTTATACAGCTCCTTTCATAGTCAGAGGACTCCAAAACGCTTTACATTACAGTGTATCTGTCATCCATTCACACACATTCACACACTGATGGTGATGATGAGCTACAATGAAGCCACAGCTGTCCTGGGACACATTGACATCTACCAGCCAATAGAGGGCACCATTGCTGGTTGCTTGGCACAGACAGAAGATGTCGCGATCCTTCTCAGAAGAGGAGCGACCATAAAAGATCTAAAACCAGAGTGAGTTTAGGTGAAGCCTAGACCAGCGGTTCCCAAACTTATTTAGCCGCGCATCCCCTTCTATGTCCCGACCATGTTGACGCACCCCCCAGCCCCACATATATATATATATATATATATAACCATATATAACCAGATATACATAAATAGACATATATCAGACGTCACGCTAGACAGTTACTCGACAGACAAGGTTAAAAAAATATGATCGACCATTTTCCCCATCACTTTCATTTTTATGTTTATGTATTATATATTTTAGAAATAGTAATTAATAAACATTCGATACCATTACAATTTCCTTTGATTTAATTTCAAATCAATTTTTAGAGTGCCCAGGTAGCACATAAACAATGCAATTTAACGGTTTTCTTAAATCAGGAACGTTTAACCAGAGCTCTCTCCTTCCTTCTGCTCTGCGTAAACCTGAACTGGTCACCTACTTGTGCGTAATCAAATGTCTTTAGGGGAAAAGATGGAAAAGCTATAGCCATGAGCTTCACTTTTACCTCAGACCGACTTATTGCTGTTTTATGGTGTGGCTGAATCTGCGATCCGCTGCCACGCGGACTGGAATAACAAATGCTGCAGTAACATGGGTTGTGGTCAGGTTCATGACTGGCTCCACTGGGTGGAGCGGACTCGAATTTCATACGTCATCCCAAAATAGAAGCTAAAATCTTTATTTGACCTTGAATGAAAAATGTTGTTATAAAACCTCTTAAAAGTTTTTATCACGGAGGCGGCAGCGCTCATTTCTGCCTTCAGTCTGACGGCACAGCGCAGCGTGCGCTTGTTGAATCAGTATGTGTGTGTGTGTGTGTGTGTGTGTGTGTGTCTCTGTGTGTGTGCGGCACAGCTCCATGAGCCGCTCCAGTCACTGCATCTTGTTATTGGCGCTAATTAAACCAATGTTGTAAAATTACTTCTGCCCAGCCCAGATGTGCTCACTTGTGCACCCGTGAGCCGTGGTTCCGCTGGAACGCGTCTGACCTCTGACAGACACACTCTGAACTCCAGATCTTCAGCGCACTGTTAATAGCCTGACACCTTTAGAATGCTGTCCCACAGTCAGTGTGCTAATATAATAATATAATAATACTAAAATGCTCAGATGGGAATCGTTTCTTGATTTATTTTGTCCACAATGTCCTGTGTGTGAGGTTTACAATGTCAGAACACCTGCATGAGACAGGTGTTAATTACAATCTGCCAGAATGACTCACCACCTTCAGATTTCTCCAACACCGTTAAAAATGATCAAATACGGAACATATCGGCGTGCGCAGGCCAGAGCGCTGAAGCTCGGCGCATTGTTATTATGAAGCTAGGGCACATGTGGAGGACACAACACACACACACACACACACACACACACACACACACACACACACACACACACACACACACACACACACACACACACACACACACACACACACACACACACACACAAGCAAAATATACTTGTTTTCAATTACATTTATTGGGCCTACTTACTTTTTCTTATAGCCCACCCACAAATGAGTTTCTGGCTACGCTAATGGTGACATGACAGACTTATCTGAGCTCCGCAGCCATTACACTTTTCGCCTCGCGCACCCCCTAGCGGCAGCTCGCGCACCCCACACTTAGGGAATCCCTGGCCTAGATGGACCTAAATAAAATGTTTCAGCATCGGCAGCAAACCTAGTGGCTGGAAACCTTGTTCTATGTTGCAACTACAACCTCCACATGCTATGTGTCACTTTGATGTTCATGTTCCACATTCAACCTTTAATACTTTTATTGTACTTATGGCATGACTCTGCTAGTCTGTGCTATTAAAAATAGCAACACAATCCAATGTTCACACGTGTCTTAAATAAGGGGTTGAAGATGAATTAAAAGCATCAACAAGAACTAGCAATTCATTTCATGGTAGAGATAATGTTTACATTTAAACAGTTGGAAGGTTTCTGTTGTGTTGCACAAGATAAGCTAATGTGTTCATTCTCCTTCAGCCGGCTCCTCTCTCTGCTTATCTGTCCTCTGCTGCCTCCTGGGTCACCCTATCCCCTCGCCCTAATCCTTACCAGGGTTTGCTGCTTGAAAAACAAACACGTCATAAATTAGATCCACAATGAGCGTTGAAAAATGTCTCTGATTTACCCCCCCACCCCACCCCTGCATACCGGCACTCGGTGTATAAATACATCAGTCGGAAAGGCCCCGGTGTGTTTTTGTGCATTCACTAAACAGCTTATCTCCTCGCTGCTGCGGTTTCATGAAAGGCCGCCGTGTTAATCTGAGGAGGGAGATAAGTGCAGCTCCAACAGTAGTGCAGCGATAATGCTGCACAGAGGTGTTTAATTCAGAACAGCCATCAGCCGTGTCAACAGGAAACTCTGGTGAAGACGAACAAAGTTTCAGCTTCAAATGTAGAAAAATAAATGATGACTTCAATAAATGAGTCCACAGCATGAAATCTGTTTTATTAATTCATAAAATAAAATAAAATAACTATTTATCAGATACATATCACTCCAGGTGCTGTTGAAGCAGAGCAAATGAACACAAATCTTGTTGCCTGTTACTTTTAATTATGAAATAAAATACACTTTTAATAATTTATATTTAAATTATATTTTGGTTTAACCATTTTCAGTATATTTCATTTGGTATTTTGAATTTTAAAAGTTTGAATACAATTTAAATACATTAATTAAAACGAATAAGCAAATATTAAACAGTTTCAAATCTGGCTTTACAGTATAAAAAAAATCTAAAGAAACTTCTGCAGAAACGGGAAAATTGCTTTAATAAATAAAATGTCTCTGAGTTTAAATATTTAGTAGAATTTAATGCTTTAAATAATACTTAAATGGTAAAACAGATGCAGATGCAGGAGGTAAATCTGTTAAATGTTCTATTTAGATTTGTCACAATTTTAGAAATCAGTTTAAAGTAACTAATTTACCAATTTACCAATTTAAACTCCCCTCCAATGTTAACTAAGACTGAAATAGACAAAAAGTTAAAGATTTAGTGTGTCCAATAGGACATGAGATGTCTTTGTGTCCTTGTCAGACTTAAGAATAGCTTCCAAACACACACGCACCAAAGCACCAGTCTCCGAAACATGAAAAGGACCAGAACGGCTGCAGAAATATCCCGTAAGCCCTTGTTGCCGTCCCAAAGGCCGTTGATTTAAGCAGCTGGTAGCTCAGCGTGTTTATGGGTTAATGGCCTGTGTTACAAACTAATACTACATAAATAAGATCAGATAAAGTTATATTTCATACCATATTAAACAATTTTACAAGTAGAATTTAGTTTAGATATGAATATCACACCAGTGGAGCAGTTTAATGCTGTTGGAGGAAAACTGTGAAAATTCTCAGTTTTGATCAGAAGCCATCGGAAGTGACGACCTTTTCCACCATTTCTTCAAAGTTTGAATAAGAAATCCAAAGATGTCCTCAGAGGGCTTTGAAAGGATCAGTGGGAGTGTGGTTGAAACTGGCGTCTGTAAAGATGGCCAGAGTTCCCACCGTGGTGAAAACCACGAAGATCCAGAGGAACATGCGGTCCACCACCATGGCGACGTACTGCCAGTCCTCTTTCAGCTGGATGGACACAGATGGGAGGGAAACCAGGCGCAGACGTGAAACTCAGAGAGCAAACAGTAATAAAAACTACAAAAGCAGCTGCTCACCGCCTCGTAGTCTTTCTCAGCCTGCAGAGCTTCAGCAATGTACGTGATGGCTTCAATGGCTGATTTCAGCTCATGCGGTAGAGTAAGGTAGGTACTCGGGCCTTCGATGAACTTCCTCAGGTCTGTGCACAGACCTTCTGGGTGGAACCTGCTTGGCACAAAGAAGCATAGCACAGAATCACCTAAAACACTCTAAACACCTCCAACGCATAATGGCGTATCCCCGTACATACGCAGACAGAGAAGTGTAAGGCTGCATGGTGGAGCAGCTGGTAGCACTGTTGCCTCACAACAAGAAGGCCGCAGGTTCAAATCTCAGCTGTGTGTTGGCATGTTCCCCAAGTATACCTGGGTTTTCTCCGGGTACCCCAGATTCCTCCCATAGAACAAAGACTTACATGACTGGTTGATTGGTGTGTGAACGGTTGTTTGTCTCTGTGTCTCTCTGATGGACTCGATACCTGTACACGATGTCCCCACTAACTGCTAGAGACAGGCACCGGCTCCCCATGACCCTACTGATTATCAAGGTGATGAGTGAATGGATGTTCCACTGGGACAACACTTTTTATGGGTGCTTGGTCAGAAACACTAAAAATAGAGCTAGGGTCCAAATCGTTCTGTCCCAGACTGTAAATCTCAGCGTTGATTCAGAGGTAACACACACACACACACACACACACACATGCACATACATGCACACTGCACAAATACACACAAATGTGCAGAATGCAGCATTGTGAGAGCTGGTGTGAGTCCAAATGCTAACTAGATGCTGAAAAACGCCAAAGCATTTGCGAGGGAGGCTATACGTCTGGTCTGCACTCCCGTGTCAGCGAGGCAGGAATAAAATGAAGGTCAGAGGAGTTCCCTGGTATTCCTGCTGCTGCGGAGGGAGTTGCTGCTGGATATCTGCTGACCGCGCTGCTCTGGCTCACAGACTCAGTGTTTATGTGTGAATGCTTTAGTGTTTACTTGTTTCCCTCGGTTACCAACTGTCAGCTGCTGCTGGGTGCCAGAATAACGCTGCTGTGGTTTTTCCTGCTGCTGCTGAGAAATGTTCACACTAAAGCTGCGACACTGTGTGTCAAAATGTTTGGCTTTCTCCATTAAACCCATGATAAAAAGGCCCTTCTGCCATAAATTATGCTGCAGGGCTTTGTCTGCGGGGGCCCAGAAGGAACAAATACAGTCATGTTCTACAAAACAGAATCAGACCGGAAAAAAGGGGAGAGAAAAAAATCGTATTTTACTAAAACTACAGATTTCGGGACTTGAACTCATCTCACCGGATATGATAAACTTGTTTTCACTCCAGAACTAAAATCGCATCAGTGAAGCTGATGGATGAAAACCTGCTGGCAGCTGCTGCACTAAATATTTCATCTTTCCTCCTTCTTTCAAAAGCTGAGATGTGGAAAATGTAATTAACACGTTCCCCCCCCCCCCCTCCCCGAATTTACTTAAAGCAACATGACTTTTTACTACCTTATAAACACAGAAATTAACTCTTTGATGCTTAGAAATCATGCATCGTTCCACAAATGTGGAATGACCTACCAAGCACTACCAGAACAGCGGCTTCCTTTTAAATTTTCAAGAAACTCCTGAAGACCCTGCTCTTCAGAGAGCATCTTCTAAACTAGCACCCTCCCTGCACCCCCCCCCCCCCCCCCTACTGTCCACTCCTTTGTCCATGACTGATGTCAAGTTGTTGTTGTTATTGTTGTTGTTAGGCTCAAGGGCAACATGCCGATTATCACTTGTAAGTCACTTTGGACAAAAGCGTCTGATAAACACATAAACATAAACACAAATAAGTTGGTTTAGAAGATGAATGAGATGAAGATTTAAAGAAGTCCCAGTAAAACTGAGCTGCAGAATGTGAGTTGGTCCAGCAGAGGGCGGTGTTGCACTATGAGCAGAGCGAGCTGTTGGGATCCTGGCTGGAAAGTCAGGAGTTTCCACTGCAGCTGGGACGGCCGCGACTCAAACCAGGTGAAGCCCCTTCAGGTGGCCAAAAACCACCGTGAGACAGACAGGAAGACATGAGACGCTTTGACCTCCTCCCCTCTCCTCTCCCTTCCTTTTACGACCCAAAGTAACACTCCATCGGCAAGAACTAAATGACTGTTCAGGAGATTAATTCTGACTTAAACCGGGCTCGTCTGGGTGCCAAGACATGCACTAAACCAATTAAGGAGGTGCATGTGAGTGTGTGTATGGGCTGCTGGGAGATACTGCTGTCTCATCACATTGTCCTGACACCCCCCTCCACCGTTCCCTCACCCAGACACGCAGCATCCCTCTCTCACGTGTCAGACTCAATTTGTGTGGGTCATTATTATTTCAGCAGCGGTTCCCTTCAGACATATTTTATGTTACAGGGGAGTTGGACGGGACAGCTACACACACTGGGGACAATTTCAGGGTGTTTTTAATGGAACAACATGAAGCTGGCTGGTTAGGATGTCACGCAGACACCTGCTGTGACGCACAGATCTCCAGACTAACTAACTCTGGTGCAAGGTCACTCACTTCCTGTGTTAAAGGAACAGACACCCGGGTTAGACAGACAGAGCGGTTTGTTACCACGCTACGTGCCAGCGTTGGCCAGAATCCAGCTCATTACTCAACAGCTTCAGGAGCAGCAATCTGGAAAAACCTCTGATGAAAATCATCAATCTGGGTTCCAAAGGAGCTGCTTTGTTCTCAGTTCTTAAATACCAGTCAAACCTGTGGTTTTTACACATTGTTGTTTGATAAGTATAAAAAAAAAACTAGAGAAATACTGATTAGCTTTGCCCAGATTGACAAGCTAACGGGCAGGGCGCGCTAGACCTGATTGTACTGCAGCCATCTTGAATCTAATCTCCAAAAATGTGCTATCAACTCCAGATTAAGGAAAGCACCCTATGCTCCTTTGCATACTAGCGTTATACGAGTTTCTACGTGTAAACACAGAGCGCTGACCTCACCTGTTTGGCTTGGGGAATAAGATGGACGAGTCAGGTTTTCTGATGAAGTACTCGTCAGCAACTTTGCTGATGGTGACAATCTTTTTCTGCCTATGGGAAATGGTCTCGAGGGACAGAGGTGGCTCAACCTTTGGCCGAAGCATACCCAGGTATGGAGGCAGCATGTGGATGAAGATCTGGATGGAGAGAGAACATGAAGGAGAGCTAAGTTACCTGTAGATTTGAGGTGTTCTGAAGACAGAATCAGGAAATCTGATTCTGGTAATCAATACAACAACTCAGGGTGTTGGTCCTATAGGGTATGGATGGATGGATGGATGTTCGATTCCTCTGTTTAGTCTTTCACTGTCCTACCCCTATATGTAGTCCTGCGCTCCACCAATTAGACCGATTTATCCTGATTGGTGAAAAAAACCCATTCATGGTCAGATGAAGCTCTGGTGTTGTGATCAACGAGAACATCAGCAGGTCAAGTGTTACGCTGGATCAATAGAATAAATGCTCTAAATGGTCTTTTTATGCTATTTGAAGATATTTTAAATATTTTTTTATTTTACTTTGAAATAACACTTGTCTTAATAGACTCATAATAATAAAACTTCCTGAGGGAACAGTCTGATTTACAGTGACAGGATGAGTTCCTCGTGTTTTCTCTTTAATTATTGTAAAAGAGGCTCACTCTGTCACGCTGAGCGCAGGAGGTTAGGACTAAAAATGCAGAACACCAGATCACTCGAGGCAGGAGCGGTTGTTGAAAGTAAAATCCTTTATTTAGGATGATGGGTAAATATCCCAAGGGGCAGGAAGCCAAACCGAAAATCCGGAGAGAACAGAACTACAAAAACAAAGCTCATTCATGCAGAAGTCACAACCTCAATGGTCATAATCCTTCTCACTTGTTCTGGTCTACAGCCCGTCGCTCTCCAAGGAGGCCTCCCCGCCGCGTCGACCAGTCTGCGTTAGCCTACCCAGCTAGGACGGCTAACGCTCCAGCTGGCCTGCAGCCCTCCTCCGCCGCCAACTTTGGCCTGCTCAGTATCTGCTCCCTGACGAACAAAGGCCATCATATCCACGATCTACTCTCCGACTACAATCTGGATTTTCTCTGTTTGGTCGAAACGTGGCAACATCCCGACGACTTCTCCTCAATGAACGATGCTACTCCACCAGGCTATGTTTACACTTCTAAATCCCGCGGATCACGAGGAGGCGGTCTCGCGGTCATACAGCGTGAGACTTGGAAAGTCCTCCCCGTGCCTGTTCCTGCGCTCAGCTCTATGGAATGCCTGACGTTTCAGCTCCATGGACCAACTCCCACCATTATTGCCGTTATTTACCGTCCACCTAATCCCCATCCTGACTTTCTGTCCCAGTTTGCTTCTCTACTCGCCCATCTCTCCACTCTATCTTCCAAATTAATGTTGCTGGGAGACTTCAATATCCAAATGGACAATGACACTTTCCCCATAACCAAAGACTTTTCTTCTTGCCTCCTCAGCCATGGACTTCTCAGGGGCATGTCCAGGGAGTGGACTTGGAATCTGATTGGTCACCCCAGGTGCCAACACACTAATTTACCTTTAAATAGACTTTTCATTGTCCACAAAAGGCTTGGGGGTGAAACAAAAAAAGCATAACCATTGGTGCCACCCATGCGCAAAGTTGTGCCTCACCTGGGCCACCCCATTTTAAAAGATCTGGACACACCACTGGGACTTCTCCAACACATTGACACACCGACCCATACCAACGGACATATTCTGGATTTAATCTGCTGTTCCGGTCTCACTCCTCTGAACTGCTCAGTTACTGATCTCCATTTATCTGATCACTTCTTTCTTTCCTTCTTTGTTCAACTCCCTCTCTGTCATACCAAGACTACCCGTCTTATCCACTTTAGGGAAATTAAGGACATTAATCTGGACACTCTCTCGTCCCAACTCTCATCCCTTAGCTTTTCTGATTTACTTTCCTGTCCTGATGAACTGACTGACCACTATAACTCCAATCTACATAACATCCTTGACACCTTGGCTCTATTAAAAAACCTGTTCTGTCAGTTTCTCTACCTCTGCCCCAGGTTCACCACTGATCTTAGGACTTTGAAAGCTGAAGGCCGACGGCTAGAGCGTCTCTACAGGAGAGCGGGACTTTCTGTTCACAAAGATATGTACACCGCCCACTTAGCCCACTACAAGGATTCTTTCTCCTGCACAAAGTCAGCTTACGCCTCCGGTCTCATCTTCTCCAACAGTGGAAATTCTAAAACTCTTTTTTTCTCTCCTCCATAAAATCCCCCCCCCCCCACACACACACACACACACACACACACACACTTTTATTCTACTGACACCTGCAGCAGCATTCTTTCCTTCTTTAAAGGGACTTTACAAAGTTTTGAATTTTTATGCTCGCGATTGCCCCCTCAGGCCAAAAGCGTAACGGCAGCTTCAATAGTAGGCTCGTGCACGAGGCGCGCATGCTGTACGTGCACACTCCTTAACGAAAATAACAGCTGAGAAAGTCCCTTGTGTGTGTGTGTGTGTCCGTGAGTGTGTGTGTGTGTGTGTGTGTGTGTGTGTGTGTGTGTGTGTGTGTGTGTGTGTGGCTCGGAGGACAGAGGACAGGAGAATGCGCAGCTAATTAATTAAATAATGTGGTTCTGTACCTTTCTCTTCAGCACAGCCGACAAAGGTTTATGACGGGTCAGTCCTCCTGCATGCTCAGATCATTCCCTTCCCTTGCTTGAAAAATTGTTCCAAAATGAAAGTTGAACCCACATCTTTTTTATCTGTGAATTCAATGCCGTTCGGCGAGTCTCAAATAAAAATTTGGGCATCTTACTGTAAAAAATATACCATTAATGTAAAAGTGAAACTCTAAATAAATTATGTTAACACCCGAAATCAAACCCAGGTCTCCCGCATGAGAGTCCAACATCTTACCAGGTGGGCTAAAGCACCAGCAATATACTTTTGATCTGTAACATTTATATTCTTGATGACAGCTGAAACAACGTTCAAAGAAAGGTTCGGAGCGAAAATACCTATTTTGTTGCTAATTTGCAGGAAATATCTTGAAGAAAGTTCTACAGAAAGTAGCTAAGAGTCCTCAGAAATGTAGCTAGCTTTGTCACTAGGCATTAAGAACAAAGACTAAAGCTACGGATAGCAAATGCTACGGGCGATGCCTGAGCGTGAACGCGCATGAAGCAGCCTGCTCGACCCGAGCATCTCTCTTTTTCTGTGATTTTACAGAAAAACAGGCAATCACAGTAAAAATGCCAGGGCTCTTTCTACAAGACCAGGGCATTGCAGGAGAATGTATGAAGAAGAAATTTATTATTTCTATACATGTTTTGGCTGTCAAACTTCCATAATGCCCCTTTAACCAGAAAATATACAAAATCCACCAGAGTCTTAGTCTAACCAACCTCCACTCACTTCCCTCTGATGATCTGACCTTCACTGAATCATTTTCCTGTTTTTCAGTACCTGACGCCTCCACTATCTCAGACCTAATTTCCAAATCCAAGCCTTCCACCTGTCAGCTCGACCCACTCCCATCCATCCTGGTTAAATCTTGCCTCCCATCCTTGCTACCCTTGATCTCCTCCATCATCCACTCCTCCCTCCAGACCGGAATCGTACCCTCAGCCTTTAAAACCGCAGCTGTCACTCCATTTCTCAAAAAGCCTGGTTCAGATCCTAACAATTTCAATAACCTCTGCTCCATCTCCAACCTACCATTCATTTCCAAAATTCTTGAGAAAGTTGTTGCCAACCAACTTCTTTCTCATTTATCCCGAAATTATCTGTATGAAGTCTTCCAGTCTGGTTTTCGCCCTCACCATATCACTGAGACAACTTTGATAAAAATCACCAACGATCTCCTTCTAGCCGCCGATTCTGGCCAAATCGCCATTCTCATCCTACTTGGTCTTAGCGCAGCATTTGACACCATTTCACATCCAGTCTTACTCCATAGGCTGTCTGCAATCTGCATTTCCAAAACTCCCCTAACCTGGTTCAAATCATATCTATCAGATCACACTCAATTTGTCCAACTACGCACCTGCCGTTCTAACTCCTCCCCAGTCACATCTGGCATTCCTCAATGTTACGGTTGCCAGTCTGGCCAGTGAAGAGCAGGAGCCAGGATCACCCAGCCCTAGTGAATCAGCCTGACACCGCCCCTCCTTCTCCTCTCTCCCGGGCTGCTGAGGAGCACAGCTGAGCTGAATCTTCCTGATGAGCCAACACCTGTAAAAAAAAGGCTGTGCCTTCACCAGTCTGGGAGGCAGCAGTGCAGGGGTTCTGCTGTCCTCCCGGTTTTTGTCTGGTTTCAACCCCTTTCGTTCAGATGAGTTTTAACTTTGGTAGTTTTTAACTCTTAGGCCTAGTCCACACGTAGCCAGGTTTTTTTTTTAAAAACGAATATCCGCCCCTCCAAAAACGTGCATCCACACCACCTCGTTTAAAAAAACTCTGTCCACACGTGCCCGGATAAATACGTTGTTAAGGACATGCCAGACCTGTAGGCGGCAGTACTTCCCCCGTTCTTAACCTCGTCCTTCATCTGTGGTCTTCCGCAAGGAGCAGTAATTCCGCTTGCAAAAACAAACAAGCAAAAAGCGCTTGGACAATTGATAAAGCGAGCGCAGCTCTGAGGGCATCCATGCTGTCGGCTAGTGTAAACACAGGCCGCACACGTGATGTCAGCATTTTTTTGTCGCGGAAAGTGACGTTGCAGACCTTAAAACTCCGATTTTGTCTGTCCACACGCAGACACCCAAAACGGAGAAAAAGCAGATGTTCACTTTGGCCGGAGTTTTTAAAAAGATCCGTTTTCGTGTGGATGACAGGCCAAAACGTAGAAAAATATCTACGTTTTAGCAGATCCCCGGCTACGTGTGGACAGGGCCTCAGTGATAAGTTTTTGGATGATCCAGTGGGATCTTTTTGCAGTTTGGTTTTAAGGTTAACTTGGTTTGGTGCAATTTTACTGACTTCGGTTTTAAACACCTTCGTTGTGGTAAAGCTTTTTAAAATAAGTTTTTACCAGGTGTTTTAGTCAGTATATTGTTTTAGACTTTTATCAACTCCGTTGTGCTTTTAGAACACCTTTGTGCGGTTAAGCTTTTAACAAAGTTTTAACCAGGTGTTTTTATAGTTGATAATTTGTCGTGATGTTAACCTTTTAGAGAGTTCAGTTTGTGTTTTGCATTATCTTTATAATGCCCGTCGTCATCTGTTTGCACGTTTTTAGAACCTTTTCATAACAATAAAACCCTTTTAAGATCCACTGTCCAGTTCTTATGTTATCCCCATCCTTCACATTTTAACAACACCTGTCGGGGACGTAACACTCAAGGCTCAGTCTTAGGCCCCCTTCTCTTCATAATTTACTTACTTCCACTCGGCAATATCTTCCGTAAATTCAACATCAATTTCCACTGCTACGCCGACGATACCCAGCTCTATTTCTCTATCAAACCCAAAACTCCGCTACCTCTTTCCTCTCTTCTCAGTTGTCTCTCTGAAGTTAAATCCTGGTTCTCTTCCAACTTCCTTCTGCTTAACAGTGACAAGTCAGAAATCCTCCTCACCAGTATCAAGTCCTCCCTCTCCAAGATCACTTCATTCTCACTTAGCTTCAATAACACCACACTTTCCCTACCATTAAAGCCAAGAGCTTGGGCGTCATTTTGGATGACACCTTATCATTCATACCTCACATCAACAATATTACAAAAACTGCTTACTTCCATCTCCGCAATACTAATCGACTCCGCCCCTCCCTCAGCCAACACTCTGCTACTATTTTGATTCACAGTCTTGTCACCAGCCACATCGACTACTGTAATGCCCTCCTCTCCGGTCTTCGTCTTCGTCTTCCTCCGCTTATCCGGGTCCGGGTCGCGGGGGCAGCATCCCAATTAGGGAGCTCCAGGCCGTCCTCTCCCCGGCCTTGTCCACCAGCTCCTCCGGCAGGACCCCAAGGCGTTCCCGGACCAGATTGGAGATGTAACCTCTCCAACGTGTCCTGGGTCGACCCGGGGGCCTTCTGCCGGCAGGACATGCCCGAAACACCTCCCCGGGGAGGCGTCCAGGAGGCATCCTGACCAGATGCCCAAACCACCTCAACTGGCTCCTTTCGATCCGGAGGAGCAGCGGTTCTACTCCGAGTCCCTCTCGAATGTCCGAGCTCCTCACCCTATCTCTAAGGCTGAGCCCGGCCACCCTACGGAGGAAACTCATTTCGGCCGCTTGTATCCGCGATCTCGTTCTTTCGGTCATTACCCAAAGCTCATGACCATAGGTGAGGATTGGGACGTAGATCGACCGGTAAATCGAGAGCCTGGCTTTCTGGCTCAGCTCCCTCTTCCCCACGACAGATCGGCTCAGCGTCCGCATCACTGCAGACGCCGAACAATCCGCCTGTCGATCTCCCGATCCCTCCTACCCTCACTCGTGAACAAGACCCCGAGATACTTAAACTCCTCCACTTGAGGTAGGACCTCTCCCCCGACCCGGAGGTGGCAAGCCACCCTTTTCCGGTCGAGAACCATGGTCTCAGATTTGGAGGTGCTGATCCTCATCCCAGCCGCTTCACATTCGGCCGCGAACCTACCCAGCAAGAGCTGAAGGTCAGAGCTGGATGAAGCTAGGAGGACCACATCATCTGCAAAAAGCAGAGACGAGATTCTCCTGCCACCAAACTCGACACACTCCACACCACGGCTGCGTCTAGAAATTCTGTCCATAAAAGTGATGAACAGAACCGGTGACAAAGTATCTCCGGTGTCCCCCCTAAAGTCACTCAATAAACTTCAGCTGGTCCAGAATTCCGCTGCCCGTATAATCACCAAGACCTCCATCCACAATCACATTTCTCCTGCTTTGCACCATCTTCACTGGCTCCCTGTTAAATACCGAATTGACTTTAAAATTCTTCTGTACACTTTCAAAGCCATCCACAATCTCGCTCCTCCATATATTTCTAATCTCATCCATGTCATCACTCCCACTTGCTCGCTTCGTTCACCATCCTCCTTTTCCTTATCTGTTCCCCGTATTCGTCTCAGTAACACTGGAGCCAGAGCCTTCAGTTACTCAGCCCCTAAACTCTGGAACACTCTCCTGTCTGACATCTGCAATATCAACTCATTCTCAACCTTTAAGTCCCAACTCAAAACTCATATGTTCCGCTTGGCTTATCCACCATAACTACACTCCTTCTTCTATCCTTCTCTAGCCTAGCAACCGAAATCCTCTGTTCCTACATTTTTATCTAGTCTTAGCTCCTTTTAAATCATGATTGTTTAATGTATTTATTTGTATTGGTTTTTTTTCTTCTTGTATGTACCTGCACTTGTAAAGTGACCTTCAGAGTCTTGAAAGGCGCTTGAAATAAAATGCATTATTATTATTATTAATAAATATACATTTATTAACAAAACTTTTGTTGTTTTAGTGTTTATGAATATTTGCCGTGGGACTCTGACCTTGCGCACCCACAGCGGCATCATGTGGGTGTTGGGGGAGCGGTGGTGCAGGTTGAGGACAACCACGCTGAGGATCACGGAGAAGGTGACTAGGATCATGGTGAACATGATGTAGTTGACGATGATGGGAACACCCAGCGAGGTTTCTGGGATCTTATCAGCCAGCAGCAGAAGGAACACGGTGAGGGTCAGCAGGACGTTGATGGACAGGCCCATCTTCTCACCTGAGACAGGGAAAGAACATACTTTTTCTCTGAGCAGTGTTTATGCACATTCAGGTTGTTTCCGTGACAACACACACTTACCGGCATCAGGAGGGAGGTAGAAGTTAAAGATGGCAATGATGGTGATGAGGATGCAGGGAATGATGATGTTGATGATGTAGTAGAGAGGCTTCCTCTCGATGATTAGGTAGAACGTCATCTCTTCATACATGTCGTCGTTCATGTTCTTCCTGCTTGGCTTGTGAATGATGTTCCACTCGCCGCTCTCTGAAGAAATGTTTAAACATTGGTTTAGATCAGCGATGTGCCACCCTGGTTCTCCAGGGTCGTTGTCTCCCTACCCCAACACCTGTGATTCAATGGTTGAATGACCTGTTCAGCAGGTCATCAAGCTCTACATCAGCCTGTTAATCACCCACCGATTCAAACCAGGTGTGCTGAAGCTGGGAAATGTGTTTTCAGTGGGCTAACTACAGTAGGTGCTTTAGGTTCACTTTGAGACTTGCTTGGTGGAACAAGTGCCCTGGAAAGAAAGCTGGCTTGGCTGTTTTCTACATTTTATGTAGAAGTAATTGCAGTAGGGTTAAAACTGTGGGTGGCCAATTAAAGGTGTAACATCACCCTTTCCAATAATCCCAACAGCTCACCACTGAAGGCCCCGTCTAACTGGATTTCTCTAATCTCGTTGCCTTTTGAGTCCAGCGCGTACTGCAGGTCGATCTCTGTGGAGTCGTACGTGTAGGAGCGGAACTGCATGGTGCAGTTCTGCCAGTCAAAAGGGAAATATGTTACCTGTGGGGGGAATGCAGGCATGTAAAGAACCAAACTCAAGTGGAAAAAAATGTTGTTCACAAAGATGTAGAGGTGTGTGTCCACCTTGACTCCACAAGAACTGCAGTAGAGAGCAGGGGGCGTCCACGTCACCCTGCCGGTACTATAAACCTGGACATGGACCTGCAGGGCCACGTCAAAGACGCCATCATTACTGTGGACACGGAGTTAAACACAACATAAAAATTATGAAGTCGCTCTGCCGATGAAACCTACAGTAGACATTAGTCTGAGTGGAACAGCTGATTTCTCATGGTGGACATCTGGTTGAAGACTATTACGGAGCTCATGCAATGGAAAAACTGCAGGAACAGCAGTAAGCTAAAGACTTTACAAACAAAGGGCAGCATGTACAACCCCCCCATATCCCAGCTCGCATGCACACTCCCATTAACATCACTGTAAATATCCTCACTACTCCATTCATCAACACTTTATAGGCAATTAAGCAGCTTGACTCTCTAATAACAGGGCCCGTGGAGCAGCACACACACACACACACACACACACACACACACACACACACACACACACACACACACACACACACACACACACACACACACACACGCACACACACAAACGTTTTGTGTACTTTTGTGTCTTTTTGATCGATACTGGTCATTTCAGGTGAAGCTGCACTTTCGCAGATATCATGTTTTATTCTGGTGATTTGAGGAGGTTGACTCTTCTTTGGATTCAACAGACCCACAAGCTAACTGCTAAAGCTAGTTGTTGCTGTAGCTAGCTTCTGATGCTATTCACAACTATACAAGCAGATAAAAGTGCAAACAAACGTTCATGTGGTGTAAAAGTTTACACTATCCATTTTAATGGACTGTAGGTCTCTTTTTACTGGTAGACTCAGAAGCTAACAACTAGCAACATGTTGCATACATCTTGTTGACAGTGTCTAACAAAACCAAAATCTCTGCAATTTCACAGCTGCTCATACAACCTTCCATCACAGTCAGTTTGACATTATACATCTGGTTTAGAAGAAATATTTAGACATTCCTGCCAAACCTGACAATGGAACCTGAATGGGTGCTACATTTAGCATTGGTTATGTTTACCTTTGTCAGTAACCATAACATTTCAAATAATAACTGGGGTGCAAATCTGAGAGCTAAGGATTTATAAAGTAACAATGCAAATTAAGGAGATTAGAGTTGTTTTGAAATGGTCTTTGCCGCACCCGAGCTAGCTGTTAGCTCATTAATCCTATCAGCTTCAGTGGCTGATTAGGAAATATTCACATTTCAGAAATTATTTGTATAACAGAATGTACTTCAAAATTGTGGGAATGTCCTTTCTGAATGGCCTTTACCTCATTTGGATTAGCTGTTTTTGTTTTTACCTGTCCAGAGATAATCTTTATTTTTCCAAAGTGATGTGCTCAATAAACTCTCTGACATGTTAAATGATCTGAACTGTCTCTTATTTTTTTGTGTGTTTCTTACTTATTAATGAGGACGATGTCAGGAAGCCACACCTTCCCAGAGGGAACACGCAGGACCTCAATCCCATCATACTGCTTGGGATCCCAGCTCAGCCGATAATCCGTCCACTCCTGTAGGAAAATCTCAAAGTGTTTTCGTTGGTACGATACGGAGAAATGAGATGAAACGCATTTAAAAGCTGAGACGAGAGAGAGCAGCAGGCAGAAACTTTGCTTATTCAGTACAAATGGAGCCAATTTGTCATTTCATCATTTTTTAAATTATTTTCCCAGCACTTTAATTAGAGTCCTCAGGGATGATTTCCCTTTGCATTTGCATAAAAATAACATGATTTGCATATGTTTTCACTTTGCTTTACACATTTGTGCTGTGTGGATCATCGCACTGAGCTGCACCACAGAGGAGGTCAGGAGTTAATCTACTTTAAATAATAGTGAGAACTTATTTGAGGAGTGTAGAATGAACTGGAATGTTCAGGTTAAAGAAAGAAGAGCAAAGAAACTTACCAGGTTCATAACAACCACCGTGCTCATTTCTTCATTTTTCATGTTCTGAAGGAAGCGTTAAAAAATATGTTGTGATTAAACTGAGTCTGGAGCTCGGCTCTTATTTAAAAACAACAGATGGATTTCAAGTAATCGAGACTTTTAAATACAGCATTTTAAAATGAAATACGTATTGTAACAACAAAATAATGTCATGTTATGTAATTATATAACAAGATAGCAGTAATGTAGAAATAAAATTGGCCCTCACCACCTGTAGATCCTTCATTAGAAGGCAGTAGACATGTACAGGACCGGATATGTCAGGTTTCTGGTTAAGGTAATCCTGATGCTACATTTGTTAAAACTTAATTGTTCTATTTTGTCCCTAAAGTGAACACTTGCTTTAGCATATGGCAGGCAGTTAGAGGTCTCTTAAAGTGTCTTGTGCACAGTCCCAGTTTTAATTTCTAGGTCTGTAAAAGGTGATGTGTTGCATTATGGGATTATTCACCAGCTGCCCCATGCTGCTGTTAGAGAGCAGGAGGAGTGCAGAGCCTCAGAGTTCTGTCTGCTATTTAAAACAAAGAGCAATGTCAGCGAGACAGCTGTGTGTGTGAGTGTGTTTGTCAGTGGTGGCAAGGCTCATTGAAGTATGTAAAAATTTTGTATATGTAAATGGACTCAGCATAAGTTAAAATACTTAGCTTGTAAATATCTTTAATGACAAGCAAGGACAATTACTTTGGATTCCTTAAAAAATAAATAAAACACGTATGTATAAATTCTGAAAGTACATAAACTTGTGTGTTTACGTATAAAATTTTCTTCTAATTAACGTTATTCAACGTTGTGCTGGAAATAATCAAAAGTTTACCAAACAAATCATTTATTTAATACTTTTAAATAAAATTTATCCAGCATGGCTAAATAAATGTAAAACTTCACTAACACAATCTAGCTCTTCTATCAGCAAGGATCCGTGCATGCTGGATCTGGATTTGTCACATTTTAAGAGGTGGTTTTGCAAAATTCATAGCTGGAGTCAAGCTTGATGGAAAACCACTAAATTATCAAAGAAAAGTTCAAAGGAGAGCAGAATGAACATACTGTATCAGCATTCCTCTGTGACCTCACTGGTTCACCTTAGTCAGAAGATCCAACAGAATGTCAAAAAAAAAAAAAAAAAAAAAGGCCAGAAAGGTGGTGTAGAGGTTCTGGAGCTCACCAGTCCAACAAACGAGGAGAGGATCATCCCCACACGGACCACCACCCTCTCTCTAGGGCTTTGAGCTGGTAGCACCTTCAGGTTATAGTTGGTGAAAACCTTCTTCATCAGAGCCTGCTCCACCTCAGCACCGCCTGTTCCACAGGGAGAAAGAGCTTCTTAACACGCAGGTTCAGGTGGACAAACAAACTCCATCATAAGTAAAAGTCACCTCTGCTAGCTAAATAACGCTAAAAATAAACACTTCTGAGGTTTTCTTCCCGGTTGGCTCAGCCAATCAAGAGATAGGGTTGGAGATGACTGTAGATCCCCAACAGGACACCTGGACAGGTAGAGGCCTTTTAGTTTAGCATTAATCCGTCTGAATCTGCTCCTTTAACTCTGAGGTTCTCCTCCTGGTTGAGTGAGAGCTTCTTTAAGCAGAGAAGAATCTCCGTATGGTGTTTGTGATAGGGTTAGAGGGCCAACAGAGATGGGCAGTAATAGGGAAGACACTCCATTCATTCGTCCCTTTAAGTTTAATTTCCATACCACTGAGCCCAGAACAGAGATTTTGGGCAAAAACATCATCACGTGCATCAAAAATACCATCAACCCAACACAATCCATGGCAACCTCACTGGCATTGATACTAGCGATACGTGGATCGATCCACCCGCTGCCTTTTTGACTTAAACTCCTAATCTTTGACTCCCTGCATGATAAGAATTTAGTTCCAATGGAAAACTGCCTGTTTGCTATTAAAGCTTAAGCATTGCATTTTCACATATAGCCTACTGAACATCCTTGTGGCTGTTGGAAGGTCAAAAGCATTTATAATCACTGGCACCAGTGACGCTGCATTCATCACGTTTGGAGTTGCTGTGACTCCAGGATCCAACCTGACAGAAACGGATGACGACAGTCACCCAGCAAGGCCTCCCCACAACACACACACACCACCACCACCACCACCACCATTAGCAACGACTGCTCATGAGCCAGAGATGGTGGCTTAAAGAACCAAAACGTTTGATTTCATTTTACCTGGTAGCTCAGATGGCTGCTGGATTAAAACATGATCAGATCAGCTGAGGTACCATCCAGGTGGGAGGACGAACACTGATGTGTTTCACCTCTTGCTAGCTCACTAAACTCAGCTGAACGCGCAGAGAAGCAATAAAAATGATTGAGAAATCGACACTGGCAGCAATAAAGTTCAATATAAATGACTTCATTGTCAGAGCGCATTATGTGCTGCGCTCTCCCCCACCAGCATCGATTCATCTGCGTTAAACAATATCACCAAGTGGACAATCACATTCTACCTGCTCATCCCGTCTGATTAGATTTTAGGATGTAGCAGCATGTCATAACCTTATCAGTGGTCTTGTATCATTCTTTCATTATAATTTACAGCATTTTAGTTGTTTGCTTTTTTTTTAATTTTCAGATGATCACAAGAGCAAATATTCGTTGATTTTACATTTTTTATCTATCATACTGGTGGTTGTAGTATGCTACAGAATTATTTATCAAATTAAAATCTGTTTAAATCAAATAGCTAAATCAACAAACAGTAATACCTAAAAAGAATTTAAAAAGCTGCCTTGTACCCCTAAATTTTCTTTCTAATAACTAATGTTAAATAAACTAAGCTGCTAGTTGTTGGCACACCAATATGACATAAAAATCAAATTGACTTTTAAAAACAATTTCCAAGAAACATTTTGGTGTACATGAGTTGTTGAGAGACGTCCTTCACTAAGAAACCATTTATTACCTATTATTTATTAAATAATGGGTCACATGCAGGATATATTTGACAATAGTCTCCTACAGCTATCTCCTGCATTATCTTCTGATAGATCATGGTGACACTCCAGGATTTGAAAAGCCTGACGGATCTATGTCACACTCATCTTGACTCACGATGAGGAAGGCTGTTATTGGTTTAGCGTCCAAGAAACAGCAGAAGGCACCTTTGCTAGTAGAAGCTAACCATTAGCATTGCACACCTCAAGGCTTGTATTTGCAGAGATAAATCATCAATGTTGCGAACATAATCAGTGGTAGAGTCGTGTTACTGTTAGCCGATCAGAGGCGAGATGTCCAAAAATAGGAAGCCTAAGTCTCCTCTCCCTTTCCGGTCGGCTCATGGGTCCCTGGAAGAATGAAAAAATGAATGCAAGTCAACGAGGCTAAAAACGCCATTTTCTAATCTGCTTTGCCCTGGATCACACATATGTTGTACTGCAATTTAAATGAAAACTACTGAAGGGTGTTCCGACCATGCCAGTCACGTACTTTGAGATTTATCAGCTTGTAAAATTCTTAATTACTATGACTACTAATCAGACGTCGGTACGTCGCGTACACGGCATCACCACATAATCTCCTCTACCCTAGCGTAGCTGCTACTTACCACATGGCCAGATTTATGGTGGTTCTTGATTTGAAGCTTGCTAAATTTACAGCCATTTGTCCTCTGCTTTTCTTCTTGTCTGATTCAAAAGAAGCACTTTCTTTTTTTTTGATCAAGGTATTTTTATTTAGTTTTAAAAAGTTATATTTTACAGTGTAACACAAGTCCAACAGAACTAAAACCCATCCACCCCCCACAAATACCAGACAAGTGTGATCACAGTACCAAATATCTAGTTCGATATACTGTACAGAGCTCATATGGCCAGATAAAAAACAAACAAACAAACATAAATAAATAAAATGCACAAGTAAAGATGAATGATGACAGCAACAGGGATTCACATTGCTATATTGTCTGCCTCCATATCTTCTACAAACATAAGGAAAGGCTGCCAAATGTTATAACATTTTCTAGTAGACCCCCTAATTGTGTATCTGATCTTCTCCAACTTGATATGATACATAATTTCCCTAACCCAATGACTATATGTTGGAGGTGCTGGGTCTTTCCATTTCAATAATATCAGTCTCCTAGCTAGGAGAGAGCAGAAAGCTACCATTATTCTTTCCGACACCTCTAGGTGGGAGTCTGTCTGAGTTACTCCAAAAAGTGCAATGAATGGACATGGTGCAAGCCTTTTTGCGAAGATCTTAGAAAAGGTCTCAAAAATGGACTGCCAGAAAGCGCCAAGCTTTGGACAAGTCCAAAACATATGTAGGAGAGTGGCTGGATCTTGCCTGCATCTGTCACACGTGGGTTCTACCTGAGCATTGATCTTAGAGAGTTTAACTTTAGACCAGTGCAGATGGTGCACAATTTTAAACTGAATGACAGCATGCCTTAAACAAATGGAAAATGAAAAAAGTCCCTGTATTATTTTGTGCCAAATGTCATCTGTGATTTGCTCATTTAAATCTGTCTCCCATTTATTTTTGAGAAGATCCAAAGATTTCAAGTCATGAGAATATAGTATTTCGTATATCTTTCCTAATAGTTCACTTTCTGACTAGTTTGCAGTCAAAAATTGAATCCAACAGGATTGGCATGTTGGAGGACGTAAGGGAGAACATATAAAGTTCGAGAGTACAAAATTCTGAAGTTGCAGGTATCGATAGAAATGTGATTTGGGAATATGATATTTTTGTACCAACTGTTCAAAGGAGGCAAAGCTGCCGCCATTATATAGATCTGACAATGATACCATGCCTCTACTGGACCACATATCGAAAACCCCATCTGTTAATGATGGGACAAACAAATTATTCGGTGCAGCTGGGGCAGCCTGGGAGAGATCTGTAAGTGCAAAGGATCTTCTAAATTGGTTCCAGATCTTGATTGAATGTAAATCCACAGGGTTAGAGGTAAAATTAGAAATGGGCCGCGGAAACGGCAACTTAGAACACTGTAAGGCTTTTAAAGAAGTGGAGTTTACAAATGCCCTCTCCAGATTTAGCCATTCAGTGTCAGTGTTATCATTATTGTTATCCATCCAATATAGCAGTACTCGAATGTTAAACACCCAGTAGTAATACAAAAAGTTAGGCAGTGCCATTCCTCCCATTGAGCGAGGTCTCTGAAGTACACTTCTTTTTATCCGGGGCGTTTTTTTGTTCCAAATGTAATTTGATATCTTATTATTTAATTTTGTAAAGAAAGACTTAGTTAAAAAGATGGGAAGGTACTGAAATATATATATAAAAACAAAGGCAGTATATTAATTTTTACCGCATTAATTCTTCCCCCCAGAGATAGAAGCAGGGGATCCCATCGTTCGATATCCTGATTTAAGTTTGATAACAGGGGCTGGTCGTTAGCAGCATAAAGATCTTTATGTTAATCTGTGACCTATATTCCGAGATATTTGAATTTTTTTGGGGCTAATATTAAAGGGGAGTGATTTTAAGTAACTGTCATCATTACTAGTGCCAACAGGCATCAGCTCCCTTTTTTGAACCTTGACTTTGTAGCCGGATAGTTTGCCAAATTCTTTTAGTAGGACCATCAGCTTAGGAAGGCTTAAAATGGGATGTGATATGTATAGTAACATGTTGTCTGCATAAAGCGAGACTTTGTGCTCTTCCCCCACTTGGTGAATTCCTCTGATATCTGTATTTTGACTCAGAGCTAAAGCTAGTGGTTCCAATGCAACCGCAAAAAGGAGCAGTGACATGTGGCATTCCTGTCTTGTACCACACTTAAGTTCAAAGAAAGGGGACAAATCATTATTAGTACGCACAGCAGCCATCGGAGAAGTATATAAAAGTCTGATCCATGATATGAATTTATATCCAAATCTAAACCTCTCTAGAGTGCTGAAAAGATAGCCCCGTTCCACCCGGTCGAACGCTTTTTCAGCATCGAGTGAGAGGACGACCTCTGGCACATCCGGTGGAGGGGAGCTACAGAGGATGTTAAAAAGGCGTCTGACGTTGAAAAAAGAGTAACTATTCTTTATAAAGCCTGCTTGGTCAGGCGATATAATGGAGGGAAGAGCATCTTCTAGTCGACGTGCCAAAACCTTGGGAAGGATTTTTGCGTCTGTGTTAAGAAGCGAAAGTGGGCGAAATGAATTGCACTCCAGAGGGTTTTTTCCTTTTTTGAGAATCACAGAGATTACCGCTTGGCGCATGGTCAGAGGTAAGGCCTTAAGTGAAAATGATTCTTCAAAAACAGACAGTAGCAGTGGGGCAAGTTGGACGGAGAATTTTTTATAGAAATCTGTCGGAT